ACTGGAAGAAGCAAAGACCACCAGCACTGAAGTGATGGTCTTCCGCCATCAGCTCCACTGGACTGAAGGCCACATTGCCCAAATGCCCAATCACAGTCTCCCAAAGCAGTTACTCTACTCCGAACTCAAGAACGGGAAACGAAATGTTGGAGGACAGGAAAAGAGGTTGAAAGATGGGCTCAAAGCCAACCTCAAAAACTGTGGCATAGACACTGAGAACTAGGAAGCCCTGGCCCTTAAACGTTCCAGCTGGAGGTCAGCTGTGACCAGCAGTGCTGTAGAATTTGAAGAGGTACAAATGGAGGGCGAGAGAAACGTGCCAAGAGGAAGACGTGTCAAGCCAACCCTAAACGGGGCTGCCTCCCACCTGGAAACCAATGCCCTTACTGCAGGAGAACATGCAGGTCAAGAATAGGGCTCCACAGCCACCTACGTGTCCACCGCCAAGACACATCACTTGGAGGACCATGATCCTCGGACTACAGGGGATTGCCTAAGTAAGTAAGCATTTGTGTTCTCCTTCCGTTTCCCATTTGTTTGGGATGCAAGGAGGATCTCTCCTGGAGGCAAAACAGACCCAGGCAGACAGATAGCCCATAAGGTCTCGTTCACTGCGCAAGACGTAAACATCTGCTTAACATAAAGCTTTGCTGTAGAGGAAATAAAGAGGGGATTAAGATTTCTCCTTCCTCTTTCATGGCAGCTGGAAATGCGATACGTTGGTCACAAACGCAGCCTGGAATGTAGCATTGTCTGTTTTGGGGCCTGGGGCCTGGGGCCTGGAGCTGAAGAGTAACAGCCATCCTTTGGCTTCCCAGGTTTTGACAGGAGTTTGGGTTTGGTTTGCAACAGAGGCCACGATCCACCAGTTCACGCTCATGTTTCCTTCAAATCTTCCCATTGATATCAGGGTAGTCGTGGGTGAAAGCAGTTGTGGATGGAAGTAGTTGTGGGTGAAAGCAGTTGTTGGTGGTGGTAGTTGTGAGTGGAAGCAGTTGTGGGTGGAAGTAGTCGTGGGTGAAAGCAGTCATGGCTAAAAGCAGTCGTGTGTGGAAGCACACGACTGGGTGGAAGCAGATGTGGGCAGAAGTAGATGTGGGTAGAAGCAGTCATAGGTGGAAGCAGTCGTGGGTGGAAGTAGATGTGGGTGGAAGTAGATGTGGGTGGAAGCAGCCGTGGGTGAAAGCAGTTCTTGGTGAAAGCAGTCCTGGGTGGAAGTAGATGTGGGTGGAAGCAGTCGTGGGTGGAAGCAGTCGTGGGTGGGAGCATTCCTGGGTGAAAGCAGTCGTGGGTGGAAGCAGTCGTGGGTGAAAGCAGTCGTGGGTGGAAGCAGTCCTCGGTGAAAGCAGTTCTGGGTGGAAGCAGTCATGAGGAAAAGCAGTCGTGAGGGAAAGCAGTCGTGGGTGGAAGTAGTTGTGGGTGGAAGCAGTCCTGGGTGGAAGCAGTCCTGGGTGAAAGCAGTCCTGGGTGGAAACAGTCCTGGGTGAAAGCAGTCCTGGGGGAAAGCAGTCGTGGGGGAAAGCAGTCGTGGGGGAAAGCAGTCGTGGGGGAAAGCAGTCGTGGGTGGAAGCAGTCGTGGGTGTAAGTAGTCGTGGGTGGAAGCAGTCTTGGGTGGAAGCAGTTGTGGGTGAAAGTAGTCGTGGGTGGAAGCAGTCCTGGATGAAAGCAGTCCTGGGTGGAAGCAGATGTGGGTGGAAGCAGTCGTGGGGGAAAGCAGTCGTGGGGGAAAGCAGTCGTGGATGGAAGCAGTCGTGGGTGTAAGTAGTCGTGGGTGGAAGCAGTCGTGGGTGGAAGCAGTCGTGGGTGGAAGTAGTCGTGGGTGGAAGTAGTTGTGGGTGGAAGCAGTCGTGGGTGGAAGCAGTCGTGGGTGGAAGCAGTCGTGGGTGAAAGCATTCCTGGGTGAAAGCAGTCGTGGGTGAAAGCAGTCGTGGGTGAAAGCAGTCGTGGGTGAAAGAAGTCATGGGTGGAAGCAGTCCTGGGTGGAAGCAGATGTGGGTGGAAGCAGATGTGGGTGGAAGCAGTCGTGAGGAAAAGCAGTCGTGGGTGGAAGCAGTCGTGGGTGAAAGCAGTCGTGGGTGAAAGCAATCGTGGGGGAAAGCAGTCGTGGGGGAAAGCAGTCGTGGGTGAAAGCAATCGTGGGTGAAAGCAGTCATGGGGGAAAGCAGTCGTGGGTGGAAGCAGTCGTGGGTGTAAGCAGTTGTGGGTGTAAGTAGTCGTGGGTGTAAGTAGTCGTGGGTGAAAGCAGTTGTGGGTGGAAGCAGTTGGTGGAAGCACTTGTGGGTGGAAGTAGTTGTGGGTGGAAGCAGTTGTGGGTGGAAATTGTGGGTGGAAGAAGTTGTGGGTGGAAGCAGTCATGAGTGAAAGCAGTCCTGGGTAAAAGTAGTTGTTCTACCCCAGAAACTTTGCTTGTGTTTACTATCCACCCTAGCAATCGTTTTCTCCTCTCAATGCAGAGAAATCCTTCGGGTTAAATTAAATCATTCCGCACCGATTGTCAAGCTCTTAAAATACCATACTGAGTTTGGCCCCAAAACTCGTATATAAATCAAGGATTAAAATAGTAGTTGTCAGGAGCAGGTGGAAACTCGGTTTCCAAGTGAAAGCATATTACTACTTTGGCACAGATTCGACAGAAGATATTTTTTTCCTTCCTCTCGTCCCTTTTTTAAAAAGATTTGTGAAACACATGCAACGCTAAACCTGCTTTCCAACCCGTTTTCCGAATTGGAGAAGGTGGAAGACCTTGTCAAACTATGACTTCCAGGTCTCCCATTGCATGGAACCAAGGCAGTATCAAACTGCATTCATCCAACAAGTGAAGGAGGGAGATTGGACTCTGCATCTTTGCCTGTCTAAGCTCTAAATTCTGTACAGCCACATCGCACAGCACTTCACACTCTGCTCACCAATGTGCTGATGCCCAACTTTCGTATCCTGTTTGTTTTTGGATGCTCTGCTGTATATTTTAGGGTAGTTTTCCCTAACAATATGCACTTTTTTTTTGGTCGTGCCAGGAGCGACTTGAGAAACTGCAAGTCGCTTCTGGTGTGAGAGAATTGGCCGTCTGCAAGGATGTTACAGTATGCACTAAAGATGAGCGATTGATTAAAAATGGTTCAAAATTACTTACAAAACTGGGGAGATGCTGGTGCTTTATTTCTAAAGTGTTTCTAAAGCAGTAGTTCCCAACCTGTGGTCCATGGACCACCACTGGTCCGCAACCAATCCCTCTCCAATGCCGGAAATACAGCTTAATGGTTCAACATTAGAGAATGCTGACCATTTCTGCTCCCTTGGCAGCCACCTCTCCACAAAAGTGACAACACTGCCTGAGCTCTGCGAGTGCAGCGTTCTTCCGAGTGAAGCAGAGAGTGTTTGAGGACTGGGACATCCGTAGGGAGACCAAGGTGCTTGTTTATAAAGCCATTGTCCTCCCAACCCTGTTATACGCCTGTGAAACGTGGACTGTCTACAGACGTCACACTCAACTCCTGGAACGATTCCATCAACATTGCCTCTGGAAAATTCTGCAAATCTCTTGGGAAGACAAGCAGACAAATGTCAGCATGCTGGAAGAAGCAAGGACCACCAGCAATGAAACGATGCTCCTCCGCCATCAACTGCGCTGGACTGAAGGCCACATTGTCCGAATACTCGATCACCGTCTCCCAAAGCAGTTACTCTACTCCGAATTCAAGAACGGAAAACAAAATGTTAGAGGACAGGAAAAGAGTTTAAAGATGGGCTTAAAGCCAACCTCAAAAACTGTGGCATAGACACTGAGAACTGGGAAGCCCTGGCTCTTGAGCGCACTAACTGGAGGTCAGCTGTGACCAGCAGTGCTGTAGAATGTGAAGAGGGACCAATGGAGGGCGAAAGAGAGAAACGTGCCAAGAGGAAGGTGCATCAAACCAACCCTGACCGTGACTGCCTTCTGTCTGGAAACCGATGTCCTCACTGTGGGAGAACATGTGGATCAAGAATAGGGCTCCACAGCCACCTATGGACCCACCACCAAGACACCACATCTGGAAGACCATCATCCTTGAGCTATGAGGGATTGCCTAAGTAAATAAGTAAGTACATTCCAAGAATATTGTATACTAGATGTTAGAGTCATGGAATCACAGCGTTGGAAGAAACACAACTCTCTGCCATGCAGGAAAACACAATCCGATCCCTCCCAACAGATGGCCACCTGTTGAAAAACCTCCAAAGAGGGAGACGTTGCCAGGCTCCACATCTCACAGTCATTGTAATGAGACAATGTTCCATTGGAGAAGGGTCCATCATCCATCCTTCCCTCTCCAAAACAATATCACACGATTTTTGTTCCTCGGTTATCAATATAATTTCCTGACTGATTCGATCATAAAAAATATGAGGAAAATGTATTCCATTACCAAAATTTTGTCTTTGCGGGAGGGACATCATCTTGCTGTAGCACATTACGCCATAGTTTTTCCATGACTATTTGAAGCAATGGAAGATAGTTTATGGCAACCACAAAAACGAAATTTCTGGAGTTGGACAACGACTTTCAAATTAAGGACCGTACAATTAAACAGGAAATAATTTCAAACAATAAATTTTTCAAATTTTGTTACTTAGTGATATAGTCTTCCTCCACCTCCATCCCTCGGCATAGCAAAACTTTGTGGATGTTGCCATCTAGTGGTGTGTTTGATATCGAACCATTTGCATGTCTTCTCTAGGGATCTCTAGGTCTTCCACAAGAAGTCTTTTGCTGGATGTTGGCCACAGAGTCATGGCTGGAGGACCTAGAGATTCCTAGACAGATGTTGTCTCATATATATACATGGGATTTATTTGTCCCCACTCAGTTGTGGAATGGTGAGTTCAAATATCGGTAAAATCCCATTGAAGCAATGGATCTACTCAAATTGCACAGTATGTTCAGACACAGGGGTCGTACTGTGGTCTAGAATGCTATTCACTTGTAATGGAACCTCATCCGTGGCTTTCTTTCTATCTTTTAGAATGTATGAATTGCACAAAACTCACAGATATGACGGCGAGGCTGAACACCCTCGAAACAAAGGTAAGATAGCTTTCCATGTAGAATCATAGAGTTGGAAGAGACCTGGTAGGCTATCGTCCAGTCCAACCCCATTCTGCCAAGAGGAAGGAAAATTGCATTCAAAGCACCCCTGACAGATGGCCATCCAGCCTCTGCTTCAAAGCCTCCAAAGAAGGAGTCTCCACCACATTCCGAGGCAGAGAGTTCCACTGCTAAACATATATCACAGTCAGGAAGTTCTTCCTAATGTTCAGGTGGAATCTCCTTTCTTGTAGTTTGTGCCTCAGAACATGCCTTGAAGGCTCTTTACATGGCCGATAAATCAGGATAAATCAACACGATGTCTCCAGAGCAGCAGAAAACAACTTTCCTTCCTCCTCAATGTCACCTCTTTTCAAATATTGAAACATGGCTCTCATGCCTCTCCTCTCAGCCTTCCTTTCTCCAAACGGAACATACTTTGTTCTCTCAGCCGCTCTTCATAGGTCTTGGTTTTCTAAACCTTTGATCATTTTTATCACCGTTCTCTGGGCACCGTCTTGTCCATCTCCTTCTTGGATTCAAATCAAATCAAAACATTTATTTCGGTCATTGACCAGCACAGGAAATAGTGTCTCATTTCCATACAAACCTGGCATGTTTGGTACATTAAAAATATAAATACAACTACTAAAAACACAATATGGGTGAGGGAGCAGAAGGGGAAACAGGGTAAAAACATACAATGCCCAGATCCATCACCAAATTGTAGATTCAGGGAAGAAGATTACTGGACACACAGTTGACTTTTGGACTAGTCATTCCCTGGCGGATTGTGTATGCTGCTGCACAGAACTTTGCGACATTGTATGTTGTAGCTGAATTAGTATCTGCCAGTAGCAGGGAGGTATAAAATTGTCCTGAATGGCCTGGGTGCTTGTCTATCAGAGGTAAGATAAGCCTGGCATGGATATCCCTGTAGAACGGGCACTGAAGGAGCACATGTTCTATTGTTTCTCCATGACCCGAGTCACAGGGGCAGAGTCTCTCTGGGAAAGGGATCTTCTGGTAACGGCCTTCGAGTACAGCTGATGGGAGAGCGTGGCATCGGGCCAGGGTGAAAGCCCTCCGATGAATAGGAACCTCTAAGTATGTTAAATATGCCATAGTGGAGGCAAGGTATCTGCTGTCTTCATTGATAAGGAAGGTTGGAACTGAGGCCAGATCTAGTTGTCGCTCTGTGTCTGTGATACGTTGTTTAATAAGTGCTTTGGCTTGATTGTAATCCATAGCGAATAGTAGACCTGGAGAGAATCCCAATGAGGAGATTTTGGATGCTACCGCCTGCTTCCATGTGGATTGGAAGTCATCCTCCATGGTTAGTGGGGCAAGGCCAAGGGGTGCATGGGACAGTCTGAGCCAGAGGTTGAGTATGGCCACCCACACCCTGGCCTCCACTCTCATAAAACCCGTCTCTAGTCGCAGGGTGGCATTAGAAACACATTTAGGTACCTGCAAGGCCGATCTCAGAAACTTTGACTGAACCAGCTCTAATGGGGCAAAACTGGGGAAGGGGCCCAGCTGAGCACCATATAAGAGTTGGGCTAATGACTTGGCTTCAAACAGCTTGAGCGCTGCCGGTGTGAAGTGGCCCCCTCTTGTCCTGAGATATTTGAGAATGGCAATTGAGCTCCCCTGCGCGGTGTTGGATACTTGATCCCCATGAGCTCTTCTGCTACCATTAGATTGGAAAACTACACCTAGATATTTGAAGGATGTAACTTGTTCAATTTTATGACCATCTATGCTCCAAGAGTAAGTCCTGGGCCTATTAGCGAAAGCCATGATTTTGGTTTTATTGTAATTGAGTTGGAGCTGATCTGTGTTGCAATGTTGTATTAATGCTCTCAAAGCTCTTTTGAGCCCAATGGGTGTTCTAGAGAGTACAGCAGCATCATCTGCATAAAGCAGGATGGAGATGTGTCTTCCCGCCAGCTTTGGGGGGTGGAAGTCCATGTTTTGAAGCTGTTCCACTATGGAGTTTATATAGAAGTTGAACAGCAAAGGGGCCAGAATGCAGCCTTGCTTGACACCCTTGCATGTTTCAACAGCCTCAGTGAGGTGGCCCTGTGGGTTGCATCTTACTTTGAGTGTGGTCTTTTCGTGAAGTTGGCGTATTAGATATAATAGACGTCGATCGATTGTAGAACTCTCCAGTTTTTCCCAAAGTTTAACTCGCGAGATGGAATCAAATGCTGCTTTAAAGTCAATAAAAGCAGCATACAGTGAGGTTATGTTTTGGAGGAATATTTTTCCACAAGGTGTTGCAGCACTAGGCACTGATCTATGGTGGATCGACTTTCCCTGAATCCAGCTTGCTCCTCAGCTAATATGCTTTCTTGTTCCAACCAATCTTGGAGTTTCCATTGTAGATGTCTAGCATATAGCTTGCTGATAGTGTTAAGGAGGCTGATTGGTCGATAGTTCGCAGGATCATCCTTTTTCCCTTTCTTTTTATAGATGGGAACAATGATTGCAAGCCCCCAATCCTTGGGGATTTGGCCATGGTTGTCAATACATGTAAAAAGTGAGGCTAGGATGGGGGTCCAGAAATCCAGGTTGTTCTTGATGGCCTCTGCTGGGATAAGATCTTCTCCTGGGGCCTTGCCTGATCGTAGTTGGGCAACCAGGTTCTTAATTTCTGTAGCTGATACAGGTGGCCATGGTGGAAGGTTCTCTGTATCAAAGTTGGGACAGTCCCTTCCAGTAGAGGTGTCCATATAGAGATCCTGGAAATATGCCTCCCAAATCCCCGGAGGGATGTGGGAATCCACAATAGGTTGATCAGATCTTTGGGCATTTGATGTAATATGCCAGAAAGTGGCTGAGTCTTTCTCTTTGGCAGCTTTAATAAGCTGAGCCCAGTTGTTTTTCATAGCTTCCTTTTTCTTATATGCGAGCATCTGCTTGTAATGCCTCTTTTGTTGAAGGAGGTCTTGCGCTGCTGATGGTGAGGTATTGGATATGAAGGCCTGATAAGTAGCAACAAGAGCATTTTTAGCATTGACGCAATCTTTATCAAACCAGGGCTTGGAGTATTGCTGTTGCTGCTTCCTTGATGTAAAATTGTTAAACCTTAGATGCTTCTGTATTTCTTGAGTGATGTTCATATAGTTGTCAAGTAGTATGTTGGGGGATGTTGATGATGCCAAGGCAGTCTGTAGCCCCATTAGTCTATCAGAGGCCAGGAGCTCAGATATTCTTTGGTTCAGACAGGGAGTCCATTTGGCCCTGACATGGGTTCCTCCTGCAGGTGATAGGGAGGGTTGAAAACATTCCACTGTGTGGGTATTTTGGGTGAAAGAATTTAGGTGCAGCAGGACAGGAAAATGATCACTGTCAAACTTGGGCTTAACTTCCAAGGTTTTGGCATATGGAAGAAGGTCCCTTGAGATGGCTATATAGTCAATGGCGCTCATTTTAGAGCCAGAAAGATATGTAAATTCTGCTGGGTGATCACCTTCCAGAGCACCATTTAAGATGTGGAGATTCAGTCGTGATGTTGATTGAGACAAACACAACCCTGCAAAGTTTGTTTTTTGATCTTTGGAACGACGATATCACAGTCAGGAAGTTCTTCCTAATGTTCAGGTGGAATCTCCTTTCTTGTAGTTTGTGCCTCAGAACATGCCTTGAAGGCTCTTTACATGGCCGATAAATCAGGATAAATCAACACGATGTCTCCAGAGCAGCAGAAAACAACTTTCCTTCCTCCTCAATGTCACCTCTTTTCAAATATTGAAACATGGCTCTCATGCCTCTCCTCTCAGCCTTCCTTTCTCCAAACGGAACATACTTTGTTCTCTCAGCCGCTCTTCATAGGTCTTGGTTTTCTAAACCTTTGATAATTTTTATCACCGTTCTCTGGGCACCGTCTTGTCCATCTCCTTCTTGGATTGCTTGGCCCACAACTGGACGTGGGGCTGTTGTTCCAGATGAGGTCTGAGCAAAGCAAAAGTGAGTGGGAATATGACCTCTCTCGATCTAAACATGTCTATGGATGCACCCTAGAACCTTCTCCATCTCCTTCTTCTCCTTCTCCTTCTACTCCTTTGCCATGGTCACCATCTCCTTCCCCTTCTCCTTCTCCTCCATCTCCATCTTCTCATCCTCCTCCATTTCCTCTCCTCCTCCTCCATCTCTGTCTCCTTTTCTCCAACTCCATCCCCTCCTCCACCTCCTTCTCCTTTTCCTCTTCCTCCATCTCCACTCCCCTTCTGTCTCCATCTCCTCCCCCTTCTTCTCCATATCCATCTCCTTTTTCTCATCCTCCTCCATCTCTTTCTTCTTCTCCTTCTCCACCTCCAACTCCTTCTCCTCCTCCATCTCCTTTTCCTCTTCCTCCATCTCCCTCTCCCCTTCTGTCTCCACTTTCATCCCCATCCCCTTTCCTCCTCCATCTCCATCTCCTTTTTCTCATCCTCCTCCATTTCCTCTCCTCCATCTCTGTCTCCTTTTCTCCTTCTCTAACTCCATCCCCTCCTCCACATCTCCTTCTCCTTTCCCTCTTCCTCCATCTCCTCTCCCCTTCTGTCTCCATCTCCTCCCCCTTCTTCTCCATATCCATCTCCTTTTTCTCATCCTCCTCCATTTCCTCCCCTCCTCCATCTCTTTCTTCTTCTCCTTCTCCACCTCCAACTCCTCCTCCTCCATTTCCTCTTCCTCCATCTCCCTCTCCACCTTCATCCCCATCCCCTTTCCTCCTCCATCTCCATCTCCTCTGCCTCCTTCTATAATCATTGAGTTGGAAGAGAACTCATGGGCCATCTGGTCCAACCCCTTGCCAAGAAGCAGGAAAATACCATTCAAAGCACCCCTGACAGATGGCCATCCAGCCTCTGCTTAAAAGCTTCTAAAGAAGGAGCCTCCATCACACTCCACAAGGGGCAGAGAGTTCCACTGCTGAACAGCTCTCACAGGAATGTTCAGGTGGAATCTCCTTCTCCCTCTCCTTCTCCATCATCTCCATCCCCATCCCCTTCCCCTTCTCCTCTTCCATTTTCATAATTATCTCCATCTCATTCTTCTCCTTCTCCTCCACCTCCTCCTCCTCCTCCTCCTTCATCTTCATTCTTCTCCTCTTCTGTCTCCTCCTCCATTTCCATCTCCATCTCCACCCCAATCTCCTCTTCCATGTCCTCCTCCTTTTCCTCCTCCATCTCCTCTTCCTCTTCCTCCATCTCCTTTTCCCTGTCTTTCTCTACCCCCATACCCATCCCTATTCCCATCTCCATCTCCTTCTCCTTTATTTGTTCTATTATTATTATTATCATTATCATTATTATTTAAAGCATTTATATTCTACCCTTCTCACCCCGAAGGGGACTCAGGGCAGAGCACAGCATATACACGGCAATGCCGGGACACAAATTCACATACACATACATAAACATTAAAAAAACATTTATCAAAATATTAAAATACACCATTTAAAACCATCCTAGTCATCCGCATCAAATCTACTCTGGTGGTTCTGTCCAGATCCTCCTGCTTGAGGCTGCGGAGAGAGCTCGGCCGTCAGGGAACGACCTTCCTATGGCAAGGACGACAGCGACATGGTACGACGACTTGGTGCCGGACGCCATTCCTCTGGCCAACCCGGGGACCGTGCTGAGGAAACCCATGGGACCTATAGGTGAGCGCACCGCATGATGTTTTGTCTTTCTTGCTACGGTGTAGCATTGCACACGAAGAAATTGGTCTATCTTTCACTTGAGTCCCTTCTGCATGTGTTTACTCACAAATCTGTTCTAGTCGCTCCATTAAATGGAAATTGCCATTTAACCATGTATTGCTGATATGGCTTTCGGTATGTGTTGAAAATGCTCTCTGTTCGCACATTCCCAAGGGTTGGAAAGTTACTCTGGTGGGACTACAAGTCACTAAAGGCTGGAGTTAAATCAAAAACTGTATTTTCTGATCTGTCCCCCTCTGTTGGGGGTACTTTGAGTGTGATTTTCCTGCTTCTTGGCAGAATGGGATTGGACTGGATGGCCCACCAGGTCTCTTCCAACTCTTGGATTCTATGATTCTATGATTGCTCCTCTGGCCACCGCCAAAATCTGGATGAATTGACACCAAATTTGGACACAATAAACCTCTCGGGCCAACAAGTGACCATCACTCATAAAAGCACTAAAAAACACAGCTGAAGGGACTTAAAAAGCCAAAAAAGCAAAAAGACGTTACAGCGCATGTGCAAAAACGACTTCCCCCTGACAAACAAAACACACAATAGCATATCAACAACACTCTCTTCCGGACTACAGCTCCAAGCATCCCTGAGACCAGGCCCTTTAGGAGAGGAGGATAATCCAAATGCACTGCTTCCAACTGCAGTCTTTCTTCTCCTTGGATTTCTTTGAGAGCACCCAAATCCCTGCATATTTCCAATTTCATATTCCTGGAATGCAACTCCCAGCAATACTCTAGGTAGATAGATTAGATGGAGGTAGGTAGGTAGGTAGGTAGATAGGTAGATCAATCAGGAGGACTGCTAGGAGTTGCAGTCCAAGAATAGGTAGAGAAGGAAGAAACTTCTTGAATTTGTACCCTTTTCTACTTTAATTCAAAATATTAACTCAACAATTATATATATATATTTTAAAATTGGCTTCTGAATATGAAAGTTATATAATTTATTGTGACGCAGCTGGCTGAGTGTCAGCTGTATTAAGATCACTCTGACCAAAAGGTCATGAGTTCGAAGCCAGCCCGGGTTGGAGTGGGTTTCCAACCAATTGTGTGTAGCCTGTTGTCGACCTTTGCAACCCGAAAGACAGTTGCATCTGTCAAGTAGGAAAATTAGGTACCAACTTAAAGTGTGGGGAGGCTAAATTAACTGATTTGTGAGGCCATAAAGGAGACTCCAGCAAAGCATTCCAGCAGGGAAGCATGCGGGGAATGCGGAAGTGCTTCATCAGCATCGCAGATGGACGATGAAAGCGACAGCTCCCCTGGCGGCTAGTAAAAGTTAAATAGCCTCTGTGTATGTCTGTATATGTTTTTATGTCAAAAATTGGCATTGAATTTTTGCCATATATATGTACATTGTAATCCGCCCTGAGTCCCCTGCGGGTGAGAAGGGCGGAATATAAAAGCTGTAAATAAATAAAATGTCATAATACTTTTCGCTTGCAAATCCTATTGCAGTCATGTTCTTCTGGTTTTTGTCTAAAATCCATAAAAGGTTCCCATTCTTCTTGCAGTTTCTTTGTATTATCTCGTTGTAGAAATAAAGTTAATGTATCAATTTCATCCATTGTGTGGTCACGATTGAATGTTTTGCGTGGATCTTTACAGGGCTCCCGGGACCGGTTGGGAAACCAGGATCTCAAGGCCCCAAAGGCGAGAAAGGAGAGAACGGCGAGAGAGGGCTGTCCGGATCACCAGGTGAGCCTTACGCAGAAATGCACACAAAATGCGAAATCTTGGCCTTCCCAATGCGCTCAGGAATAAGCATTAGGGGTATGCAGTTGATGTTTCAAAACTCATTACAAAACAAGGGGGTGCCAGCATTTCGTTTGTAAATTTATTTATTTATTTGGTTTACTTTTACCCCGCCCTTCTCACCCCGAAGGGGACTCAGGGCTGCTTACACATCCAAGGCACAATTCGATGCCCGTAACATACCACAGTAATAAAACAAATAACACAATTTAACAATCAACAGCAATACATTACATCTATACCCGTTAAAACCAATAAAACCAATAAAAAATTCATACATACCGATACAAACCAATTACTCCTTATTGCTGGTCAATGTTCACTATCTCATAGTTCAGAGTTTCCTTCCACATTTATCCGTCCTGCCGGTCCTGTTTGTCTGGTTGTCCTTACCTAGTTAGCAGATTGCCCGAAGGCCTGGTCCCACAACCACGTCTTTACCCTCCTCCTGAAAGACAGGAATGGTGTCGACGCCCTGATATCCACTGGGAGTGAGTTCCACAGGTGAGGGGCCACCACTGAGAAGGCCCTGCTCCTTCTCCCCACCAGCCTCACTTGGGGAAGCGGTGGGGTTGAGAGCAGGGCCCCCTCAGATGATCTTAAATTCCGTGGTGGGACGTAGAGGGAGATACGTTCAGATAGATACGCTGGACCGGAACCGTTCAGGGTTTTGTAGGTCAAAACCAGCACCTTGAATTGGGCTCGGAACTGAACCGGCAGCCAGTGGAGCTGACACAGTAGAGGGGTGGTGTGCTCTCTGTATGTCGCCCCGGTGAGCAGCCTGGCTGCCGCTCGCTGAACCAGTTGAAGTTTCCGAACCGTCTTCAACGGCAACCCCACGTAGAGTGCGTTGCAGTAGTCTATTCGGGATGTAACAAGAGCGTGGACCACTGTGGCCAGAGTATCCTTAATGAAAATTTGGTTACTATAATATCTATCTACATAAAAATGCTCTGTGCATAATGAGTACCTTAAAAACAAAAGAACCAATGAACGAAATCACACCAAATTTGGCAACAAAACGTCTCACAACACAAGGAGTGACCATCACTCAAAAATTATGATTTTGTCATTTGGGAGTTGTAGTTGCTGGGATTTATAGTTCACCTACAATCATTCTGAACTCCATCAACGATGGAATTGAACCAAACTTGGCACACAGGACTCCCTTGACCAACAGAAAATACTGGAAGGGTTTGGTGGGCATTGACCTTGAGTTTGGGAGTTGTAGTTCACCTATATCCATAGTGCACTGTGGACTCAAACAATGATGGATCTGGACCAAACCTGGCACAAATATTCCATATGCCCAAATATGGACATAGATGGAGTTTGGGAGAAATAGACCTTGACATTTGGGAGTTGTAGGTACTGGGATTTATAGTTCACCTATAATCAAAGAGTGTTCTGAACCCCACGAACAACAGAATTGGGGTAAACATCCCACACAGAACCTTGATGACCAACAGAAAATACTTAAGGCCATCCAGTCCAACTGCCTTCACCAGGGCAAGAAAACGTAATCAAAGTCCTCCTGACAGGAATGGAGATAGATAGATAGATAGATAGATAGATAGATAGATAGATAGATAGATATGATTCACACACACACACACAGATACAGTATTATAGATTTGAAAGGGACCCTTAAAGACGGACAATGATATCTTGCAAACCAGACAACCTCCACATCAACACTGACAAAAAAACAGCAAGAAATACTGTTTACCCACAAGCATAAAGAAATTACATATATTAGAAACCAACACTTTCTCGTTACTTTATTTTCCAGATCAGCAGACTGGGCCACAGCAACACGTGGCAGGGGACAGCTAGTAATTTAATAAATTTGATCCAACTTACGAGGACTAGCAATAATTTTGCACAGCCCTAATAAGCACACTCCCGCAGCCTTTCCTTGCTTGTCTGTACTTTCTTTCTCGCAAACTTTTGCCACCTTGACCACACTCGGATCGTTTCACACGTCCCTGTGAAAAATCCCTGCCATATTAGTGTGCTTCCAGTAAGTGAAATAAACAAATAAACAAACCCTAATGTCTCTTATGTTCTGAATTCCAGGTGTGCTTGGACCTCCAGGACCGAGAGGATATCCGGGCGAGACGGGGATCCCAGGACCCCCTGGACCTCCGGGTCCTCAAGGCCAAGCCGCGTCTCCCAGCCTGCCTTTGACATTCCAGCAGGGAGTCCTGTACTCGCTCCAACCCAATGCGGAGAAAGAAAGTAGGTTTCTCCCTTACGTTCTGAACGGGAGTCATGGGATTGTGAGCAAAGGGCCTTGAGTCCCCATGAGGAGAAAGGCGGAGTATAAATAAAGTTAATAATAATAATAACAACAACAATACAATACAACTGCAAAAGCCTTACTTGGATCTGCGTGCATCATTCGAAAATACATCACACAGTCCTAAACGCTTGGGAAGTGTTCGACTTGTGATTTTTTTTATACGAAATCCAGCATATAGATCTCGTTTGCTGTGACATACTGTGGTTTTGTGTCCGTAAAATAATAATAAAATACAATGCATCCAATACAAACAAAATTATCTCTTCCTATCTGATCAGAGGTGGTTCTACCAGAGTCTGAATCAGCAGGTGGCTGTGAATAATGAAAAACCAGAAAAAACAGCTACAGATGCATTCTGGAAAAATCTGTGGGAAACAGAAAAAGCTGAGTGGATAAAAGACTATGAAAATAAATTTTTAGAGAACAAAATGAGAACCTTTGAAATAACAGAAATGATCACTGAAAGAGTGAAGAAAGTCAAGAACTGGACATCACCTGGCAATGATCAACTGCGCGGATTTTGGCTTAAATATCTGATGAGCTTGCACTCAAAAATGGCGGAACAATTCAATGAGATGCTGCAAACTGGAAACATCAGCAAACAGATAGCAACTGGAAGGCATATTTGATACAGAAGGATCCAGCAAAAGGGATAATACCAGGAAACTACAGGCCAATAACGTGTCTGTGTACAATGTTCAAACTTCTGACAGGCATAATAGCTGATCAAATCCAGAACTACTTGGAGGAAAATAACATCTTGCCAGTTGAACAAAAAGGCAATAAAAGAAGAAGTAGGGGCATGAAAGATCAACTTCTAATTGACAAAATGAGACTGGAGAATTGCAAAAGTCGCAAAACAAACATCTATACAACTTGGATTGATTACAAAAAAGCATTTGACTCACTGCCACATTGTTGGATTATCAAATTTCTAGATGTCATCGGGGTTTGTGAAAATATTAGAAAGTTCACTGAAAATGCAATAAAACAAAGGAAAACTGAGTTGTTTGTGGGCAACGAAAGCTATGGAACTATTAACATCAAGAGGAATTTTCCAGGGCGACTCACTGTCACCACTGCTGTTCATCATTGCAATGATCCCACTGTCAGTAATTCTATAGAAAACAAACCTAGGCTACCAAACAGCAAGAAATTCACCCAAAATTTCCCACTTGCTGTACATGGATGATCTGAAGCTTTACGGAAAATCAGAAACTGAAATAGAGTCACTAACCAACACCGTACAGTTGCCTGGAGGACCTGGAGATTCTTAGAGAGAGCATAGAAATCAACTCCACGAATCACACCATGTAACAAAACTTGAAAAATATTTCTGTTCCTGGTTCGAAAGTGTTACATTGTTCCCTCACTTATCGCGTGGGTTACGTTCCAGTTGGGCGGGAGACTGAGAACACAGCATTCTGGGAAACGTAGTTTAGGGCAGGGCTTTTTGCATTCTCGGCCACTGGGGCCTCACTTTCCCAAACTACATTTCCCAGGATGCTGTGCTCTCAGTCTCCAGCCCAGCTGCCCTTATGGCGACCGGCAAACAGAAATGGCCTCTTTGACTTTGCCAAAATTGCTTAAGGCTTATACTGAAAATTAAGCTAACTTTGGGAGGCTTCTCAGTGTTACAGAATCTGCTTTGAGTCCCCCTTGGGGTGAGAAAAGCGGTATAGAAATACGGTAAATAAAATAAATAAATGAACAAAAATTATTGGTAAATATTTTGATTATTAATTTTTTCTCTCCCCCCCCCCCACTTTTTAAAATGTTTCTTAACAGCAATTCGTTTCCACGAATCTTAACAAATTACTAATGACTTATGAGACTAACAACAATTTTGCACATCCCTAATATGTGTGTGTGTGTATGTATGTATGTATGTGTGTATATATATATATATATATATATATATATATATATATATATTTGCATCCCACTTTTATCTTTGGGATTGAGACGTTCTCATTCTCTCCTGGAGGTACAGAGCAGAGCAGATGTATTTTTAATCAACTGAAGACATCAATGATAAATTATTGAGATGGGAAGCAAATTAATTGCGGTTCAATAGCCAGATTTCCTTGCCAAAAGGGAGGAAAGCAACATTTGGGCGACCGTTTTCCGCAATGAATCCGTGTTCGCTGTCAACACAAGGTTTCACAACAGAATGCTGTCCATGGCCCGATGCCAGGTGTGCATTGTTCACATTGCCTAAATGTTGGGTGCATCCGATCATGACCGTTTCCCCCATTACCTTCCACACTCGCATCTGACAGGAGAAGCGGATTCCGCAGGACCTTGTTCCCTTGAAAGCACACTCCCCCAGAATAAAGGAGATTATGCTGGCATGGGATTCCAAGTTTCCGTCAGCAGAGGGAAGCAGAAAGTCAGTTGAAGGTTTACATCTCCTTCTGAGAAATAGTGCTGATCTGTTTTTCACGCCCACAGCCACAGATGGGTTGATATACGGCCACGTTTGTAGGTTTTGCTTTTGCAGATTTAAGTTGTACTTTCTCTCTTGGAATTGGAAGGTGCTCCAGTGTGACTCTATGATGCTGATTATTATTAGAGCCACATTTGTGTGTGTGTGTCAGGATCGACTTGAGAAACGGCAAGTTGCTTCTGGTGTGAGAGAATTGGCCGTCTGCAAGGACGTTGCCCAGAGGATCTTGCCCGGATGTTTTGATGTTTTACCTTCCTTGTGGGAGGCTTCCCTCATTTCCCTGCATGGGGAGCTGGAGCTGACAGAGGGAGTTCATCCGCGCTCTCCAGGATTCTAACCTCTAACCTGTCGGTCTTCAGTCCTCTGCTGGCACAAGGGTTTAACCCACTGCGCCACCAGAGGCTCCTACGGTGGCACAATGGGTTTAACCCTTCTGCTGGCTGAACTGCTGACCTGAAGGTCAGTGGTTCGAATCCATAAGACGGGGTTTGGTTTTTTGTCGTGTCAGGAGCAACTTGAGAAACTGCAAGTTGCTTCTGGTGTGAGAGAATTGGCCGTCTTCAAGGACGTTACCCCGGGGATGCCCAGATGATTTGATGTTTTTATCATCCTTGTGGGAGGCTTCTCTCATGTCCCTGCATGAGGAGCTGGAGCTGATAGAGGGAGCTCATCCGCCTCTCCCCGGATTCGAACCTGCGACCAGTCGGTCTTCAGTCCTGCCAGCCCACTGTGTCACCGGAGGCTCCTAAAAAAAAAGCTTCTCATGCAGGAACATGAGAGAAGCCTCCCACAGGATGGTAAAACGTCCAGGCAACATCCCCTGGGCAACGTCCTTGCAGATGGCCAGTTCTCTCACACCAGAAGCGACTTGCAGTTTCTCAAGTCCCTTTTGACACAATTTAAATAATAATAATTATTATTTTACTGACACAAAAGCACAGTATGTCACAGCAAATGAGGTCTATATGCTGGATTTCGTATCACAAAATCACAAGTCGAACACTTCCCAAGTGTCTAAGACTGTGTGATGTATTTTTGAATGATGCGCACAGATCCAAGTCAGGTGGCCTTTTGCAGTTGACAGATTGTGATTTTGTCAGTGTTTATTGTTTCCAAATGCTGGCTGAGATCTCTGTGTAGTCTGACAAAGCGGTTGTCGGTGTGGTCCAGAACGTCAAAGAATTACAGAGTTGAGATTAGAATAATAGAGTTGCTAATAGAGATTTCTGTGCTCTCAAGGAATAATTTTCTGTTCCCAGTTTGCCTTAGCATGTGCTGTGCTATGGCCGATTTTTCTGGCTGACTTAGTCTGCTACCCGAAAACTGCACAACAACCACCCTAGTGATTCCAGCCATGAAAGCCTTTGACAGTCAGTTTCAGGGCTGTGTTCAGGTCCATTGACTTCCTCCCCTGTTTTCCCCTCCTTTCGGATACAGATGGCGAGGCTCAACTGGCGTCCACCGTCATCGACACTATCCTGGCTGGTTTGCCCGGGCCTCGGGGTGCTCCGGGCCCCATTGGACTGCCAGGTAAGTGGCCAGGAGAAACACTTGTGGGTGGGGAAGAGCAAGAAGGCCACCCCATAGGTTGTCCTCTGCCTGGAAGAGTGTCCAACACTTCAGTTACTTAGAAAAGAATGCTATGATCCCTCAAAGTCAGCATGGATTCCTCAAAAACAAGTCATGCCAGACTCACCTCCTTTTCTGATGGAGTTACAAGCTAGGTATATGCAGGGAATGCTGTGGGTGGAGCATCTCTTGATTCCAGGAAGGTCTTCCTTCGACAAAGGTCCCCCATGATCTTGCATGTGGGCTAGAATACTATTAGATTGGTTGAGGGACCGAACCCAAAGGGTGCTTCTCCCTAATGGTTCCTCTTATTCATCCGGGAAAGAAGTGACTATTTGGGTTCCATGAAGACGGTTCTGGCCTGGGCTGTTCAATGTTTTTTGCGGTTGTGGAGGTCTGGAAGGCCATCTAAACACTCTTGGGGTCCCATTCCATTCTCGACCCACCCTGAGATGAAAACCTTGCATTGTGCTAGTGAAGTGTTTCTCAACCTGGGAGACGGGACTGCTGGAAGAGGGGGTCGCAAGGGGGTGTCAGAGGGGTCACCATCAGAAAACAGTATTTGTGTTGGACATGGGGGTTCTTTGTGGGAAGTTTGAACCAATTCTATCATTGGTGGGGTTCAAAATGCTCTTTGGTCATAGATAAACTATAAATCCCAGCAGCGAGAACTCCCAAATGTCAAGGTCTGTTTTCCCCAAACTCCACCAGTGTTTTATTTGGGCATATTGAGTACTTGTGCCAAGTTTGGTCCAGATCCATCATTGTTTGAGTCCACAGTGCTCTCTGGATGTAGGTGAACTACAACTCCCAAACTCAAGCTCAATGCCCACCAAACCCTTCCAGTATTTTCTGTTGGTCATGGGATTTTTGTGTGCCAAATTTGGTTCAATTCCATCCTTGGTGGAGTTCAGAATGCTCTTTGATTGTAGGTGAACTATAAATCCCAGCAACTACAACTCCCAAATGCCAACGCCTATTTTTCCCAAACTCCACCAGTGTTCACGTTTGGGCATATTGAGTATTTGTGGCAAGTTTGGTCCAGATCCATCAGTGTTTGAGTCCAAAGTGCTCTCTTGATGCAGGTGAACTACAACTCGTAAACTCAATGTCAATGCCCACCAAACCTTTTCAGTATTTTCTGCCGGTTATGAGAGTTCTTTGTACCAAATTTGGTTCAGTTCCATCATTGGTGGAATTCAGAAAGCTCTTTGATGGTAGGTTAACTATATAAATCCCAAATGACAAAATAACCCCACCAGTATTCAAATTTGTGAGTATTGGGTATTTGTGCCAAATTTGGTTCAGTGAATGAAAACGCATCCTGTATATCCAATACTTACATTATGATTCATCACTGTAGCAAAATTGCAGTTACGAAGTAGCAACAAAAATAATGTTATGGTTGGGGGTCACCACAATGTGAGGAACTGGATTAAGGGGTCACAGCATTCGGAAACTGCTATAGACCCACCCTGAGATGCAAGACTTGCATTCTGCTAGCGCTTCCTCTTGTGTGTACTTTTCAGTGCTGCTTTCTCTCTTTTTTCCCCCACCGTTGCTTTTTGGGGGATGCCTTAAGTGGTTGACCTGCGTGAGCCGCACTCTGCAGTGACCTCCCGCCAGGAGATGGAGAAGGCCTCCTTGCTCCTCTGACGACATCCCTCCATTTAGCCTTCAGCTCACTTCATCCTAGGCTTTGATATGCAAGGGCTCCATGAATTATTGAGGCCGGTGGCGGATCTGCCTGACGCTCGCTCGGGGAGGGGGATTGATCGGAAACGAACACAGCGGCTTCGTTTGGAAGGAGCCCTCCTCGGTCCCCTCCCTCCTCCCCAAAGAACAGCACATGCAATTAGTAGTTGGCGCCTGGAAGAAATGAGCTCCCCTGGCCCCACCCACCCCCCTCACCCCCTAAGTGGGAGAAAGCCATCAGGAGGCAACTCCTTAACAATGCAGAATAACAAGTGGGTCTGTTCAACTGAGTGTTCCCATTCTGCCAAACGTGGAACACGTGGAAGTCGTAAAAAAAAAGTGACATAGGCTTCTCCACTACTCCATCGTTCATGAATTTCTCCCTGTTTTTGGGTTGTTGTAGGTTTTTTCGGGCTATATGGCCATGTTCTAGAGGCATTTCTCCCGACGTTTCGCCTGCATCTATGGCAAGCATCCTCAGAGGTAGTGAGGTCTGTTGGAACTAGGGAAAAGGGTTTATATATCTGTGGAATGACCAGGGTGAGACAAAGGACTCTTGTCTGCTGGAGCTAGGTGTGAACGTTTCAACTGACCACCTTGATTAGCAAATTTTAGATGGAAAAACAACCTGTCAGTCATTCCCTAGTTCCAACAGACCTCACTACCTCTGAGGATGCTTCCCATAGATGCAGGCGAAACATCATGTAAACATGTTGTTTTCAACCAAAAGTTAACATAGTCAAAGACAATAATTATTGAAGTTAAGGAAGCAAATACAATGTGCTTTACTTAACGAAGGAAAACTAACATCTGTCTGGAACTGATAAAGTCCTCACTACCTCTGAGGATGCTTGCCATAGATGCAGGCGAAACGTCAGGAGAGAATGCCTCTAGAACATGGCCATTGCCTCTGATCATGCCAGTAGTTTAGTAGTTTTTCCTTCATGGGCCTTTTACTTCTCCATAATGCCATTTTTCTTAGGGTGGTGTCTTCAGTCTTGGCTAGACTCCAGTCATACACCTTTCATTCAATTTCATTCATTCCACACATCATAGTTATCACATTCTTCTACGGTAGAGGTCTGTTCCAGCTGAAGCCCCAACTGCTTTTATTTTATTGGACTCTCTCTAACCCTTTCCGTATTATTCCTTTTCCCTTGCTGGATGGTTTTCTTTCCCGCCAGGCCCACCTGGATCTTTGGGACCCAAAGGGGCGCCAGGACCTGTCGGACCACCTGGGCTCCAGGTAGGCTGGCTAGCCAACCAACCTCTGCGAAGAGGATGGCATTTTATGAATGTGAATTGAATGAAGCTGTTTATTTACATTGGTTTTGTATTTTATGTTATTTTATTTTCTGATTTTCTGTTGTGTTTTTGTGTTATATTGTGTTTAGTGTATTGATGGGCGTGGCCTTATGTAAGCCGCCCCGAATCCCCTTGGGGAGATGGTGACGGGGTATAAATAAAGTTTTTATCATTATCATTATCATTATTATTATTAAAGTTAAAACAGAAGTGAAAAAGGTCCATGCGATCCTAGGTTGCAGCAATAGGAGCACAGTGTCTGGATTGAGGGAAGTCATCATCCCACTCCATACTGCTTTGGTCGGACCTTCTCACCTGGAATAATATTGAGTCCAGTTCTGGGCAAAGCAATTCAAGGAGGAGATGGACAAAGCAGGAAATGCTTGAACCACAAATAAGGAGATTATATGAACCCAGTCAATTTTAACTTGTGAATTTTAGTTGGTTGGTCCCATCTTGTGTCATATGTATTTCAATAGTGTCATGTTTTATTGTTCTGTTTTCGAATTCCACCTTGAGCCTCAAGGAGAAGCAGATGATAAAATGATGATGATGTTGAGGATGATGATGATAATAATGATGATGTTGATTTTGTTGATGATGTTGATTTTGTTGATGATGTTGATTTTGTTGATGATGCTGATGTTGATGTTGATATGTTGATGATGATGCTGATGTTGATTGACGATGATGATGTTGCTGTTGCTGAACATGATGTTGCTGATGATGTTGAGGATGATGATATTGATGATGGTGGTGGTGATGATGATGTTGCTGTTGCTGAACATGATGTTGCTGATTATGTTGAGGATGATGATATTGATGGTGGTGGTGGTGGTGATGATGTTGATGCTGCTACTGCTGATGTTGATTGATGATGATGATGTTGCTGTTGCTGAACATTATGTTGCTGCTGCTGCTGATATTGAGGATGATGATATTGATGGTGGTGATGATGTTGATGCTGCTGATGTTGATGTTGTTGCTGATGCTGTTGATGTTGATGATGATGTTGATGTTGATATGATGATGTTGACTGATGATGATGTTGATGTTGATATTATGATGTCAATCCTGCTGCTGATGTTGATTGAAGATGATGATGATGATGATGATGATGCTGTTGCTGAAGATGATGTTGCTGCTGCTGCTGATGTTGAGGATGCTGGTGCGGATGACCATGATATTGATGACCATGATGTTGATGGTAATAATGATGTTGATGCTTCTGATGAAAATACGTGTTTCATTGGAAGTTCCTTTCTGACTTGGCCTGCTCCCTTTACCTTCTGTGTAGGGCATTCCTGGTTCTGCCGGACAACCTGGCTCCAAAGGATCCAAAGGAGACCGAGGTGAAAGGGTAGGTTGATATATCATAATCATGTTATTTAATTATGACATCCCCCATGTTGTCTCATAGCATATGAACAGACGTGGCAGGAAATGGGAAGGTGACATTAGCTGGCCATAAAGACCAATGGCTTTGATGTGTGGAAAAGGGAGACATCAAAGGATTTCTGTGATTTATGACCTTTTAGCTTAAGGTCGAGATATTTATTTATTTATTTATTTATTTATTTACAGTATTTATATTCCGTCCTTCTCACCCTGCAGAGGACTCTGGGCGGATTACAATACACATATACAGGGCAAACATTCAATGCCATTTAGACATACAACATATATAGACAGACACAGAGGCAATTTAATATTCCAGCTTTTTCCAGCTTCATGAGGGTATGCTCGATTCCAGCCACAAGGGGAGCTGCCGCTTCACTGTCCACTTATGACGCCATGTTCTTTGATGGAGTACTTCCTCATTCTTCTGGAAAGTTTTATGGCATCATAAATTAGTTAAATTAGCCTCCCCGCATAAAGCAGTACCTAAATTCCATACTTGACAGATGCAACTGCATAGGTCAACAGTAAGCTAGACAGCTAGGGCTGGCTTCGAACTCATGACCTCTCGGTCAGTAGTGATTTAATGCAGCTGGCTACTAACTAGCTGCCCCACAGCCCGGTCCATATATATATATATATATATATATATATATATATATATATATACACACACACATACCATAGAGCCTGATTCGTGTATGCCAAACAATAAAGACATTTACATTTGCTATCCTCAAGCTCCTGTGCACATTGGAGAATTCTTTTCAAGATAAGTGTCACTCTAAAGCAATATGGCTGACAGACAAAGGAACCTTAGAGTTCACAGGGAAAGTGTTCCCAGCCTAGCCTTCGGGATTCGGTTCACATTAATTCTAATTAATTCTAATTTTCCTCCTGACAGGGGCAAGTGGGTCCGACCGGCGAAAGAGGACTTAAGGGATTCCCTGTAAGTGGTCCATTGGTGTTTTTGTGAATATGTGTGTGATTTTCCCAGAAGGGAAGGCTAGGTTGTGCCTATATACAGAATTCCACATTTGTGGGTCTGTTTACACTGTGTAACACGATTTTTGTTCCTGGATTTTAAATGTCATTTCCTAATCGGTTCTATCATAAAAACATGGGAAAAGTTGATTAAATTGCAAAAACTTTCTTTTGGCGGGAGGGACATCCTGCAGATCATCTATATAAGTAAAAATGTAATGGGTTGTTGTAGGTTTTTTCAGGCTATATGGCCATGTTCTAGAGGCATTCTCTCCTGACGTTTCGCCTTCATCTATGGCAAGCATCCTCAGAGGTTGTGAGGTCTCTGAAAAATGTAATGTTCATTTGTGGGATTAACATAACTCAAAAACCACTGGACGAATTGACACCAAATTTGGACACAACACACGTATCAGGTCAACAAGTGACCATCACTCATAAAAACACTGAAAAACACAGCGGAAAGCCAAAAAACAAAAATTACAACGCATACGCAAAACAGAACATTTTCCAGGTTTGGTTACATAGTGTGGTTGCATGCAGCGGGGGGAAATAACATTGTGACATAAACCTGCAAAAGTCTCTGAAATCAATCCCTTTTGGGGTCTTTGAGCCTCCTTCCTTCTCGAAAGGTTTTTAAGTAGAGGCTGGATGGCCATCTGTCAGGAGAGCTTTGATCATCTTCCAACCCTTCTATGATTCTTCGTCCTATCTGTTTCTTTGATTCCGGACTCATACGAAGATGCCAAAATAGGGCTAACTTTCACACTGTTTTCCTTTTTTTTAGGGTGAACCTGGCAAGAAAGGTGAAGAAGGAGAGAAAGGCACCGATGTAAGAACCCAACAGGACCTTCTTTGCCTTTATTGTGAAGAACTTCCTGATTGTGAGAGCTGTTCAACAGTGGAACTCTCTTCCCTGGAGTGTGGTGGAGGCTCCTTCTTTGGAGGCTTCTAAACATAGGCTGGGTGGCCATCAGGGGTGCTTTGAATGTGATTTTCCTGCTTCTTGGGTTGGACTGGATGGCCCACCAGGTCTCTTCCAACTCTAGTATTCTATGATTCTGGTGAAAGAAAGCTGTTCAGCAGTGGAACTCTCTGCCCCAGAGTGTGGTGGAGGCTCCTTCTTTGGAGGCTTCTAAACAGGCTGGGTGGCCATCTGTCAGGGGTGCTTTGAATGCGATTTTCCTGCTTTTTGGCAGAATGGGGTTGGACTGGATGTCCCACCACGTCTCTTCCAACTCTAAGATTTGATGATTCCACTGCGTTCTCCGTGTGCCCACTTCCCATAGTCCTGATGGAAGCTTACGTATAGGAAAGCGCATTTTCATCACAGGCCACATCTACCTTATCATGGTAGCCTCCAAAGGGCTGTTGAGTCTATGGATGGAGAATCAATTGATATGCAGAGCCAACGATAACACTATGTCACACTATGATTATTGTTCCTGGGTTATAAATGTCATTTCCTAATTGGTTCAATCATTAAAATACAGGGGAAGTTTGTTCAACTGCAAAAACTTTGTTTTCACAAGAGGGACATCCTGCTATAGCACATTTTGTTCTAGTTTTTCAATGAATATCCCAACCAATGCAAGATAGTTTGTGGCAGCCACGAAAATGAAGTTTCTGGATTAGAACAACTACCGTATATACTCGAAGATAAGCCGAATTTTGCAGCCCTCTTTTGAGCTTATAATGGGTTCAAGGCCGGGCTGCGGAGCCTGGAGGCCATTGTTTGCAATATATGATCTTTTTCTCTCTCCTTTTTCTCCTCCCTTGACAGTGTGTTTTCGTTTCCAGTCCAAAGGGAGGGGAGGAGAAAAAGACATATTTCATGTCCTCTTTGTTTGTATGACTTTCTTTCAAGCTTGCCCAATTTCCTGGCTTTTTTGTGAATTAACTTTATATATGCATTTTTGTTCCCTTGGAAGTTTTCCCCTCATATGTTGGAAGGCCTTTGCAAATCCTATATACATATAGATATCTATGGATTTATTTATTTATTTACCGCATTTGTATACCGCCTTTCTCAGCCAGAGGCGATTTCCATATACCTATATATCTGTATCTATATGTATACATTATTTTTATATGAATTTTTTCCTCACATGTTTGCAAGTCTCTGCAAATCTTCCATAGATATAGATATAGATAAATATATAAAGCTACCTATATATCTGTAAAGCTCTCTCTTCTGTTTATATATGTGTGTATGTGTGTATAATTTTATATATGTATTTTCTCCTCACATTTTTGCAAGTCTGCAAATCTTATATATTTATAATTATCTATAGATCTCTCTCTATTGTCGCTGTTATCAAACTGGGGTTCCAAACATTCAACCCCTTCTGCAGAAGTTGCACCCCTTCGTCCAAGAAGGAAAACCCAACAGAAAACAAACTGTCTTCTTGCAAAGAAATATTTGTATAAAGATATTCACAAATAAAGCAGAGTCCTTGAAATATCCACACAAAAGCTTATAAACACAAAGTCTTTATCTTCACAGTCTTGTTCTTCAGACGTTGCAGAAAATAATACAACTCCAGCAATTCCAAACCTCTTTCCAGCTTCTTTCCAGTCTCTTTCCATCCTCCAGCCAACTTTTCTCCAGCCTCCAACCTCTACTCCAACCTCAAACATCCAACCAACATCAAATCATTCAATGTGCTTAGTCTCTACTTGTAGTACCTAAGCTTCCACAGGTGGCTTGACTGTTGCTGGCCATACAATGATTGGATATGATTCTTACAATCACCCATTTTTCACTTAAGAAATGACATAAACAAAATAAAACTCTGACATGTGTGTGTGTGTGTGTGTGTGTACATAGATATAAAGAGCTTGCAAATATTGCCGGAGGAAAGTGCACATATATAGAGAGATGATTTGCAAACATTTCAGGAGGAAATGCATATGTGAAATTAGTATATATCATTATGGATCTATATCTAGCTCTGTGTTTCTTATATAGACATTGAATGTTTGCCTATGTTGGAAGCAGGTCTGAGTTCTCATAGGGAGATAGGGCAGGATACAAAGGAAGTTCTATTATTATTATTATTACTATTATTATTATTATTATTATTATTATATTTTTGATCCCATATTTTTTGTTGACTCTACTTTTCCACTTACAGAGCTAGTTTACTGTTTTACTTTGAAATACAATAAATATTCAGAATGCCGCAATTAATGTAATTTGATTGGTAGCTATATTTTTATTTTGCAATTTACCAGTAGCTGATGCATTTCTCACTCTCGGCTTATACTCGACTCTATACATTTTCCCAGGTTTTTTTGTGGTGAAATTAGGTGCCTCGACTTATTTTCAGGTTGGCTTATACTCGAGTATATACGGTACTTTAAAAGTCAGGACTGCGTAAGTAAACAGAAAATAACACTTGGTTTGACAGGAATTAGCATTCCAGCATCTGGAAGAGGGGCAAATAAAATGATTTTGGGCCAGATTAGGCCCGTGGGTCTTGGATTTGACACATGTGAAATAGGGATTTATGTATAGCATTTGAGAGGCCAGTACTACATCTCTTGATCCAGACACAACAACAACAGCAATAATAATAATTCCTTCCATTGTAGGGAGAAGGTGTTCAGCAACTTCGAGAAGCCCTGAAGATTTTAGCTGAGCGAGTGTTGATTCTTGAGCACATGATTGGCATCCATGGTGAGTTCCAGATGAAATTTCGACTAAGTTACCAACAAGTGCTTTGTTTATTGGAAGGCTGCATTTCATGCCAGAGGGAGGCTTTCCAGATGTAGTGAAAACCATAACTGTCCGAATCATCTCATTCCCTTGAGATGCATGCAATTGGATTTGGTTTTGCAAGCTTTGTAACAAAATTTGAAAAATTATGACTCAAGACAGATTTTTTAAAAATAGTTGAAAGTGATTGACAACAAAGAAACAAAGCAAATAACAAAAACTGTAAAAAAAAAAACTCAACATGTTGTATAAAGGCCCAGATTTAGTGGAGAAAAAATGGTGGATTTGGACCTGCATTTCGACGATGGCAAACCAAACTCCTGTCCCCGCTGTCCCTTTGTTTCCAGATGCTTTGTCTCCCGTTGAACCAGGCTCTGGGCAAGAGGGGCTCCTGGGGGCCCCACTCCGAGCGAACGCCAAGATCAAGCGGCGCCAGCTGAGTCAGCTCCTCTCTTCCCTGATGGAGGACGGCGAGAGCAACGGAAAAAGCCGCGGGAGGAAGTAGGTCCAGGGTCCCTTTCTGCCCCAAGAAGCCCACAGAGAGGCCTGTTCTCGTTTCCCTTACCCACAGGTCTGTAGGACATACTGAAGGGGGTAAAAATTTCCAAACTTTATGAAACTTCCGAATCTTAGTAAGTACTTCATTAATGGTGGTCGCACATGCGCATTAAGGAAAACATTACTGTCAGTGGGGAAACTCCCGGGCTTCTCTCGCCCTCGTTTTTTGAATGAAACTTGCTACAGTGGTAGATCGCATTGACCACTGTTAGCTCACCACATTTCAGAAGGTTTGACTTATCCACTGATTTTTAGCAAATTTTCAAAAAAATTATTTTATTTTTCTATTTTATAAGATTTTGTTTATAAATTTGTCCAACAAAATGTATAAGCATACATTCTTCTCTCTTTTTACAGTATCTTAGACAAAAGAGTATCTTATATTATATACGATCTAACAGTAAATAAACATCAAACAACATCTTTAAACATATTTCTTATCATTATTTTTAAATTTTCATTACAACTTATGTTACATATAACTCTATCACACACCTTTTATCCACTTATACATATTGTATTTCTTTATTATTTTTATTATACAATTTCCCCCCCTTTTCCATTTAATCTTAGTTTGTGCCCCCTCCACCATGACCAACCAACTCATATTGTTTCACCAATCCAAAATGTCATTGTTTCTGTTGCTGGCTTATACCCCTTTCCCTCATTAAACACATACTCAATACATTTTCCCCATATTTTCCAAAAGTCTGTTTGTTTACATATTCCCCTTTTATTTTTAATATTGCAAGTTAGCTTATCATTAATTGCTATATTCTAAATTTCTCTATACCATTCTTCTAATTGAATTTCTTTTTTTTTTCTTTCCAGTTTTTTGCTATCAACAATTTAGCTGCTGTTATCAAATTAGAAACCAATTCTTTCTCCTCTTGTACGGGAATTATATTATCATGAATAAGTAATAATGCTAATTTTGGTGTAATCTCAGTCTCTATTTTTATTATTGCTCTTATTTCTTTGAATATGCTTTCCCAAAATTTTTATATATTACATGACCACATATGAGTGTACGTCCCTATTTCCTGACAACCTCTCCAGCACTGATTTGAGTATTTTTTATCAATCAGATTGACAAAAAATTTTAAAAACAACATTTTTATTGATCTCTGCTTCCTCCCTTTCCCTCCTCGGTCAGCCTTGATTGGCTGGACAGGCATGCCAACAGGTTTGGCTTCGCCTCTCAGCAGGGCTTGGTTGCCCTGTCAATTTCACTCAATCATAGCTACATCTGAACACATCCAAAACTTAAGAATCACAGGCTCCTTTTGATTCAGATTCTTAATATTGGGGGAGGGGGGTTGGAACTCACTTCAAAAGTGCTAAACATCTGAACTAGATCCAAATCAAGGGTATTTCCGCATCAAACACAAAAGTCTACTATCTATCTACCTGTCAGGAGTCAATTTCTGACAGCATGAAGACATCACAAATTCCCTCTGTGACATCCTGACTGAAGCATCCTGGCTGCCTCAGTTTTCTCTCTGTGACATTTTGAAGGAAACCTTGTATTGGAACTTGTGAAGCAACAAGCTCTAATAAGGAAACTGAGAAGAGGAGGGAGATGGGCAGGAAAGGTGTATAAAAGGAAGTGGTGGTGGGAAAAAGTCAGTAGTGTCTTTCTTTGCTGCAGCGATACAAGCAATATATTCATTTCCAAGCAAAATCGGCTTGTGAGTGATCATTTAATACTGCTATATAAAACCTACAGTCTTACACTACCTATTTACTTACTTACTAAATTTGTATACCGCTCTTCTCAGCCCTCGGGCGACTCAGAGCGGTTCACAATAGCAAAATTCAATGCTTAAAACATCATAAAACAGTTAAAAACAATTAAAACAAAAGTATTATAACAATAAATTAAACATCATATAACATCTCATAGCGTCTCATAGTTAAAATCAAGATCCAGTCTCATCATCCATTGTTCCGTATTCCTATATTCATTATATTGCCTATTCAAATGCCTGCTCGAACAACCAGGTCTTCACTTTCCTCCGAAATGCTAACAGGGAGGGGGCCGATCTAATTTCTGTAGGAAGGGCATTCCACAGCCGAGGGGCCACCACTGAGAAGGCCCTGTCTCATACTTGTGATGCAGGCGGGATCGAGAGCAGGGCCTCCCCAGACGATCTTCGCGTCGTAACTGGTTCATAGGAGGATTTATTTTATTTATTTATCTCTCTAACATCCCTCCTTTTGTTCCAGTGAAGGCTGGAGAGACTGAAAACTATGCTTACTCCTGACCGAGATCCCTGCAGTCAGAAGGATGGAACGCATGTCGGATTTTCCTTGAACTCCCAACTCTTTCCAAAAGACAGACTTACACGTAATACGCCTCCTGTCTCTGTTTCGTCCTTCTCGGGAGGCCATCATCCAGGTCCAGTAGCACAGAGATTTATTTTTAGTACAGTTATTAAGGTACCAGCATGGTGTTTTGGAAAGCACTGCGGTTAAAGCTACCTGCGCGTCCCTTCTTCCAGAAAATTTCTGGTTGCCTGATGAGGAACTCTTTTTCCGCAATGTCTGATGTCGGACCTATTTTTATATTCTAGGGATGGTGTACGAAGTGTCCCCAAATTCTTGCTCTTCTGGTCTCTTCATTAGTAAACAAAATGTTGTCACAATGGACACTTCTTTCACTCCCTGCCCTGATAGATGGGTTCTGAAGATACAGAAATGGATTTGAACTGCATCTATTACACTCTGGGCCTGTCCAGACAGTACCTTTATCCCAGGAGCTTCCAGAGCAAAAAGGAGAATGGCCAGATGCCTTTCCTTGTAAAAGGCAAAAAACACGAGATTTCCAGGTGCGGGAATATCGTGGTTTGGAGCCAGATATCCGCATCTTCGAATGTCTGTATGTCCCTTCAATCAAAAATCACAGGATTTTCAAAAAAATTACACTTGTTCCAGGCTTTTAAATATTTGTTCCTGATTGGTCAGTTTCTAAAAAGAAGGTGATACTTGAGTAAAAAGCAAAAACTTTGTTTGTGTGCCAGAAACTTCATGAAACATCTGGAAGGCACAGTTTCTCTGGCCGGGACAAAGAAAGGAACATTTGCAGCAATTCACTGCAGTGATTCTCTGCATATCCTCATATCCACAACTTGAGGGTTTTTAAAAAAAAAACTGCCAAAGTTTCTGGTGGAAATCTTGCGGCGGCCATCTTGGAAACCTGGAAATTTTGCGGTGGCCATTTTAGAAGCCTGGAAATCTTGCGGCGGCCATCTTGGAAGCCTGGAAATCTTGCAGCGGCCGTCTTGGAAGCCTGGAAATTTTGTGGCGGCCATCTTGGAAGCCTGGAAATCTTGCGGCGGCCATCTTGGAAGCCTGGAATTCTTGCGGCGGCCATCTTGGAAGCCTGGAAACCTTGTGGTAGCCATCTTGGAAGCCTGGAAAGCTTGCGGCGGCCATCTTGGAAGCCTGGAAATCTTGGGGCGGCCATCTTGGAAGCCTGGAAATCTTGCAATGGCCATCTTGGAAGCCTGGAAATCTTGGGGCGGCCATCTTGGAAGCCTCTAAATCTTGCAGCAAAACACCAAGTCTGAACTATGGAAGCAGAAATCCCGGGAGCAACAGGTCTGTATGTGGACCTCTTCTGAAGTCCCGGGATTTTTTGCCCCTGTGATTTAGTCCTGCCTGGAAGTGCCTTCTATGTAACAAAATCTGAAAAAAATGTTCTGTTCTTGGTTTGAAACTTGTTATTTCCTGTTTAATTGTGTGGTCTTTACTTCGAAAGTCTTTGTTCGACTCCAGAAACGTCATTTTTGTGGTTGCCTCAAACTTCAGTTGAGTTGGTTGAGATTCGATGATGAAAAACCATCGCAAAATGTGCTATAGCCGGATATTCCTCTTGCAAAAACAAAGTGTTTGCAGTTTGGCAAACTTTCCCTGTATTTTTATGATCGAACCAAGTAGGAAGTGACATTTATAACCCAGGAACAAAAATCGTGTTGCATAGTGTTATTCATCCATTTATCTGCTGGGAGTCAAGAAGCAAAATCATTAAAAGGCTTTCATGAGCAGCTGCCCCTTTTGAACAGATGGTCGCAATACACCTGTGAGTCATCCCAGAGTCTATGACTCATTTCTGAAGTACAAAACTACACTCGGACAGTAAAGCATAGGAAAGGATTTTTTGGATGACCCAAGAAACAAGCTACGTACGAATATATCCTTCACTGCCTTTCCAAGGTTATATATAGGTTTGGTTTGCAAAGGAGAAACTGTATGGGTTTCTGGGTGGGAAGTGGCTAGGAATAATGTGCAATCTTTAGGGGCAATTTTTAGGGGAATTGTCATTGTTTTTTTCTGAGGAGCCAAGAATTCTATGCCCAGTTCTTCTCCAGCTCATTCCTTTTGTTTCCGGATATCATTTCTCTTCATGGATTTGCCATATTGGGAGAAAAATCACAGGAGGGACAAGATCTAATGCAAAGGGAGCAGATGTCAGGTCACTTTATAGGGATTTTCTCCCACCACATCCACCTTGTAGCTCACAAGTCTCTTTCTCCTTCTTCCTGATGGTGTAAAAGAGAAGCCATCCCGTCACTGGAGTCCTCGGACCTCTGCTTGCTGATGGAATTGTAGAATGCTCTTCTATTTGCTTCGATCCGGCATGCGTCATTCCGCATTCTACTCTTCTCTTTGCAGGGTGACTCCAAAGCACATTTTGAGCAAACATTTGAATTAAATAACATTAGTTAGTCAAAACAGTATAGATATATAAATATTATATATATATATATAATTTATATCCATCTCTTTTTTTTGAACATTTTCATACATCCCCAGCTTCTCTAAGGTGTTACATGCTTTTTGTTCTTACATCTACATAGGCAATGGCTTCCAAATCAGCATCACCCTGATATTTCAGTTTCCACTAGTCAGAATCCTTTGTGGAAGACAAGCATGAGTGAATCCCAGCCAAAACTGTTCAGGTAGCAGCTGCTTCAAAATACAGGAATCTGTTTCCCAGTCATTCAGGAAGCAGCTACTTCAAAATATAGCCATCTATTTTCCTGTCGTTCAGGAAGCAGCCTCTTCAAAATGCAGGAATCTGTTCCCCAGTAATTCAGGAAGCAGCTGTTTCAAAATATAGGGATCTGTTCCCCTGTTGTTTGGGAAGCAGCTGCTTCAAAATACAGGAATCGATTTTCCTGTTGTTTAGGAAGCGGCCTCTTCAAAATACAGGGATTTATTCCCCAGTAATTCAGGAAGCAGCTGCTTCAAAATATAGGAATCCGTTCTCCTGTAATTCAGGAAGTAGTTGATCCAAAATACAGGGATGTATTCCCTTGTTGTTTGGGAAACAACTGCTTCAAAATACAGGGGTCTGTTCCCATGTAATCCGGGAAGCAGCTGCTTCAAAACACAGGGATCAGTTCTCCTGTAATTGAGGTAGCAGCTGCTTCAAAATACAGGAATCTGTTTCCCTATCATTCGGGAAGCAACTGCTTCAAAATATAGAAATACACATTCCTGTATTTTCCTATCATTTAGGAAGCAACCTCTTCAAAATACAGGGGTCTGTTCCCCTGTAATTCAGGAAGCAGCTGCTTCAAAATACAGGAATCTGTTTCCCTGTCATACAGGAAGCAACTGCTTCAAAATACAGAAATACAGATTCCTGTATTTTCCTATCATTTAGGAAGCAACCTCTTCAAAATACAGGGGTCTGTTCCCCTGTAATTCAGGAAGCAGCTGCTTCAAAATACAGGGATCTGTTTCCCTGTCATTTGGGAAGGAGCTGCTTCAAAATACAGGAATCTGGGCTACACAGGGATCCCGAATATGCAAAGGTCATGGGTGCATAACTCTAGATCACGCATTCATAATTTCCTTCTAGAGGATTCAAGCCATTGTGAATAAAGTCTAAATGGGTGAGATGTGTTGATTAAATTCAGGTCAAGAAAGGTGAATTCTGAACGGACTTCAAACAGGCTCCTTAGCAAACAGGTGATGGGCCCGGGGGTCCAATTCAGCCTCTTATTCCCTGCTCAAAGTACCACTCTGGACCCTTCTTCTGAGGCTGGATTAGGGGAAAGGGAATCCATTTTAATCCCAATATGAATCCCTAATTCGAACGGGGAAAGGAATCCCCATTACTTCTGCTTACAGGTTGTGCGTTGTGATTCTTCCGGCTCACAAGCTCTCACCGTTGGCTGCATCTCTCCCGGCCGTTCGCTATAGGGTTTGTTACTGTATATGGAACGTTTTGTACTCCCGACTTACGGGTAGTTGTTGCTGTTGTTATTTTCCTTCTACAGAACAGAGTGGGAACAAATATTAACAGGCCCACTGATACCAAAGTCCTGCTTATTTAATGCACTGAGAAATAAAAACATACTGTATGTGAAAACAGAGTCTGGTGCCTGCCTTCTGTATTTATTGATCTATGGCATTCCTCGCCCACTCCTGAGCCAAGTTTGGCTCTCAAAATATAAATAGGAATGTGTGTTGGCGGGGAGGCGGAAGGCGGCTTCTTCTGCCCCTTGGCGGCTTTCGTCGCGTTTCCAAACTGTTCTTTCTTTCCCAAGCAAATGGGAACGAAGGAGCTGTGAAGAAAACTCAATCTGGTGGATGGCAAGGCAGAAACGCCAGCCCACGCAGGCAGAGGCTCAAATCTTCCAACGTGACGTCGGGAACTATCGTGATCGAACAGTTTTTTAAAAAAAGCCATTTCGTGACGTACTGCTCCTGTTAATACAGAAGGGATCTGGAACCCAAATTGTGTTCCACGGAACCTTGGGGTTCAACAAAAGCATTGTACGGGTTCAGTTGAGAGGGAACCTTATCATGGAGTCTTAGAGTTCGAAGAGACTTGGTTCTGCCAAGAAGCAGAAAAATCACTTTCAAAGCCCCCCCGACAGATGGCCATCCAGCCTCTGTTTAAAAGCCTCCAAAGAAGGAGCTTCCACCATGCAGTGAGTTCCACTATTGAACAGCCCTCCCAGAAAAACAAATTCTTGGCAAAGATTGGATGGGCATTTTTCAGGAGTGACATACATATGCATTCCTTCAAGGCTGACGGTTCGGACGAGACGGCCTGTCCAGCTCTCAAATATTTGTTTCGACTATCATTCAACAATCCAGCCTATGCTTAAAAGCCTCCAAAGAAGAGGTACGCAAAAGTAGAGAGTGACACATCACTCATAGACTTCCGGTTCAAATCAAAATCAAATAGAAATCCAATTATTTGGGTTGTTGTAGGTTTTTTCGGGCTATATGGCCATGTTCTAGAGGCATTCTCTCCTGATGTTTCGCCTGCATCTATGGCAAGCATCCTCAGAGGTAGTGAGGTGACTTACTATCGCTTTAATGGCTATGACTATATACCCTATAGATTTATAGTTAGGGATAATTCCTCTTCTGAACAGCTCTCACAGTTAGGAAGTTCTTCCTAATATTCAGGTGGAATCTCCTTTCCTGTAGTTCGAAGCCATTGCTCCGTTGCGTCCTAGTCTCCAGGGAAGCAGAAAACAAGCTTGCTCCCTCCTCCCTATGACTCCCTATCACGTATTTGTACATGGCCATCATGTCTCCTCTCAGCCTTCTTGTCTTCAGGCTAAACATGCCCAGCTCTTGAAGCCGTTCCTCATAGGGCTTGTTCTCCAGACCCTTG